TCCATTAACTTATAATAAATTTTTATGATATCCTTCAATAAAATATCTTTAATTAGCAGGCTGGTATAGAGCCAGTCCAAATGAGCCTACCCTTTATCTAGAGCAATCCAGGTGGAAATGGGTGCCCCAAGCATTGTCAGCATGAAGGAGGCAGGGGTTAGGAGCCAGGGTCCCGTCAGCCTTGGTCTACATCCAAGAGAATGCTCTGGCACTCTGTGTAATCAGACTGGTCAAAGCCCAAGCTTGGAGTCTCAGTACTGTATCCTCCTCTTATTAGCTATTTTACTCTATATGGTTGGCTTAACATCTCTGCTTTGATTTTATCTTCTATACTATGGGAATAATGATGTCATCTTCTTCGTAGGGAGCAAAGAATAAATAAGATCAAGAGCTGAATGCAGTGCCTGACACAGTATATGCTCAGTGAATGCCAACAACCATTGGTGGGGTACTGCAGAACCAGCCATTCCAAGGATCCAGGGCTTTGGTGGCACAAAGGTCAGAGTCACACATGATGGGACATCAAAGAAACCAAGATCAGGAAGGAAGAGTCCCTCCTGTATTTTGAGGACACTGTTGTGCCTCTCTCCTCCTTATAAAGGCCATTGCTGCCTCTTTGGAGAGGGGAACTAGGTCATTTGTCAGGCATTTCCCACCAAGAAGGTTTCTAACCTCCTCACAATAGACAGCCCCTAAGTTTTCCAACCTCTGTGCTAGATATGTCAGGTCCCTGCAAGTAGATGAAGGACAGGGTACACCTGTCTAAAGTCCCTGTCTGACTCCCAGCACAGTCTGAGGTGAGTCTCATAAGACACAGTATGAGCAAGCCTGAATGTGCACCCAAAGGCTTTGGGGATCCCTCTTCTTGAGGTGACAGGGAGGAAGAAGATGTGACTTCTATATAGCCCTGTGTTGACAAACTGGAAGCTTCTTCCAGTTTTTCCCGGGCAGGTGGGCCTCTAGTGGGGCCAGATGTTACTGCGGGTCACAGAGTTTTTGTTAAGTTTATAGGTTTTAAAAGGTCAGGCTCTTTGGTGATAAAAGTTTTACAGACCAGTAAAAATTTACAGCAGAAGATGGGAAACACAGCTGTAATGGTTGGAGCCAGGGGCCTGGAGGATCTCAGCTCTACCCGTAACTGGCTCCTGGAATTGAGGCAAGTCGGGGAGGTTCTTCTGGCTCTGTGTTTTAACCTGGAAGATGGGAGCAAGAACAGGGATGAGAGGTAGAACCCTGTGCAACAGTACCCGCTGACGGGTAGGTAGCAAGCTCCAGGTGTGTGCACTAGCACGGTCCTCCCAGGGGCACTGGGAGCGCTGGACACAGGAGAAGGCCCAGCCTGTGGGTCCTGCAGTCCTGGAGCTTTTCATTACCCAGGCTGGATCACTGCCATGTTGTGTGTCTGCCTCCACTCCCGGGGAGGAGCCTGGCCGTCTGCAGGCAGAGCTCAGGAATCAAATTAGCCAGGCCTCTGCTGTTCCTTGTCCCCACGGGCCAAGGCAAGTTCATCAAGGCCTCGCACTAATTCTTATCTTGTTTAAAAGGGGCAAAAGTGACTCCACAGTTTCATCTGAGGCAATTTACACCCCGCCACTGGCCACGGCTCCAACTCCCCCAGTCTGTAGTGCCATCAAATCCATTAATACAAAATTTCTTCAGGGGAAACTTGATTGCTGCTCCATCAGAGAGCCACACAGGCAATACGTCTCCATCCAAGGCTGTGGCCTGCTCGGCTCCCTCTAATCCTGTTACCTAAGGAGCTAATTCTCTAATGCACACACTGCATAGAAGCCATCCTCTTTCCTCCTAACCCAATTGGTCTGCCCCGGAGGATTCCAGGAGCTAATGCAGAAATAAAGGCTTGGGGCCCATGGGACAGTCTCCAGGCTCTTGCACTGCCTCTTGATGGGTCCTAACACGCACGTGGCAGGCACCAGACTCCACAGTGTGGGGTGCTCACTCTCCAGAGTGGCGTGGTAGGAGGGGCTAGCCACATCCTGACCCTTTGGGCTCCTGTTCAGTCAAATTCTACCTCAGCTTTCCTCCTTGGTTTCCCTTTCTTCCCGTTTCTCTGTCTCCCTTCTTGTCTTGTCCTCCTCTCTTCTTTTTTCCTCCTGTCTGTCTTTTCTTCTTGCTTCTTATATTTTTTGCTTCTCCCCTTTCTACTTTCCCAGGACCCCAACTTCTTTTATATTGTTTTACCTTCTGTTTCTCCTCATCCCCCACCCCAACCCCTAGCTATGGTGGGACTCTCTTCAGAACAAGTCTGATTCCTATCACTTCTTCCTGGTTCTCTGTCTCCAGATGGCTCAGTTCTGTGGAAGGAGTGGGCCCTAGAATATAGTTTGGCCTCAGCTTGGAGCAGACGGTAGGGAGGGCCTCGTGGAAATGCACAAAGGAACAAAGTGGAGCTTTTGGGAGTCGTGATTAGGATGTGGGGGGACTGTTAATGACAAAGGGACTACAATGATAACCCCAAGGGGGTGTGCTACCACTACAGACCAAACCCTGGATTATGGCCCTGTGAAGGAATACCATCAACAAATGGTAAAATACTATATACATATTTCATAATGCCACAAGAAGAAGAGGAGAAATTCTGTAGCAATCAGCAGCAGCTTTCTGTCAGTGGTCCTAATTAGAAGTGAGCAGGGGCCTAAGAGTCTTTGTTGGGCTCAAGGATGCACGGAGGAATCCACAGTGCTCTGCTGGACTCAAGCCCTCAGCAGCCTGGAGGCAGCCTGCTTCTCCTTGGCTTGCCTTTCCTTCTGTCAAGTGCAAAGTCTGGACTGGGGAGGTGGCCTAGTGGCAGGGTGCTGGCCTGGCATGATGAAGCCCCTGGTTTCATCCTTAGTACCACAAAATATAGTCTGAACACATTCATTCTGGGAACACCTGACTGTATACATTGTCTACAGTCTAAGGTCCCTGATTTTATCACTCCTCCTAGTCTATGCCCTGTCGTCAAAATTTTTACAGCTTTGAAGGGCATGACTTAAGGGAAGGGTAGCCTGAGCCCCCTGAGCTTGATTAAATCTTCTAGAACCAAACCCTGGCTAATGGCTCTATGAAGGGACCCTATCAAGAAAGGTAACCTGGTGCAGTGGTACATGCCTGTAATTCCAGCAGCTCGGAAGGCAGAGGCAGGAGGATCACAAGTTCAACCTACTAAGACCCCATCTTAAAGAAAAGGCAGGCGGGAAGGAAGAGAAAGGAGGGAAGGAAAGAAAAGGAAGAAACGATTATACTATAGACTTCATAGTGCATATAAAATCATTCCTACAGTGACCTCAGCCTATTTTATACTTATATTCAGCTGGAAATGGAATTAAAAAGAATGAAAATGTTTTGCTTTTAAAGAATGACTTTATGATTTTTGCTGGTAAATGGGTGGATCTGGAGACTATCATGCTAAGTGAAATAAGCCAACTCCCCAAAACCAAAGGCAGAATCTTCTCTGATACACAGATGCCAATACAAAAGAAGTGTGTGTTGTGGCGGGGGCAAGGGAAGAACAGGAGTTCATTGGAATAGAGAAAGGGGAATAAAGGGAAGGGCAAAATATAAATAAGAAGGACAGTAGAACAAATCTAGGGCTAGGGATACAGCTCAGTTGGTAGAGTGCTTGCCTCCCATGCACAAGGCCCTGGGTTCAATCCCCAGCACCACACACACACACACACACAAAAAAACCCCTGACATAACTTTCCTGTGTTCATATATGAATATACCTCATGGACCTCCACATCATGTACAACCACAAGGGAAGGGTCCTAATAAGTTATAATCCATGTATGTATAATATGTCAAAATATGTTCTACTGTCATGTATATCTAAAAAGAAACAAATCTTAAAAACAAGAAAAAGAAAAGAAAATGTTTTGTTGTTGAAGCTTGCTGTGATTAATACAAGTGTATCTTGCTTTCCACAAAAGTGAGGTGGAAAGTCCAACTAGCCTATATGGTGAATTGGTATGGGACTCCTCCAAATAGAAATTCACAGCAATTCTTTTTGAGACAAATTTTAGAACACACAGTTGCGTATCTGAGGGGTAGCTCTCACATATTTAACTTACAGAAAGAAAAGCAATACTTCTTTCAAGAAAACCACATTTAGAGGAAGGTATTGAGAATGCCTATGAAATGATAGGAAATGAGAAAGGGGGAGGGAGACTAAATTATAGACATTGCACATTTACTTAATTGTACACATTTCATGGAAGGAAATTTTAGAAGAATATAGACCAAAATATTATCAGTGACTGTCTCTGGGTGGGAAGCCTGTGGATGATTTTAATTGCACTTCCTAATTTTCTATAATGAGCATGTCTTACTATTACATTTTTCTCTACATATATTTACTACTTCTAGTAAAGTGTGTAAAAATAAATATGTAAGCTATAAAAATGCATACTCTTTACTATTTAGATATGAAKATTTAGATGAGAAAAAAAAAGGGCAGAACTGTGGTGACTCCAGATCCTTTGTCTGCAGAGGTGCCTGTCACCTGCTTGGCTAAGTGAATTATGTCCCTCTGGGGATCAAGAGAATGGCTCTCCTGCTCTGGTCTGAGCCACCCCACGGGCCCAGTTCAGTGCCACTGAAGCATACTTGGCAAGGGACATAAATGAAACAGCAGCCCAGTGCACCCCTCAGCTGTCAGGCTGTACCCTTTCTCCATGGGTTCTGTCAGTCCCTGTCCCCAAGTTACTTCTTAGGGAAACATGGCCAAGCCACCTGGCTGAATGGGTGCCTGAGCTCCTGCCACATGACATCAGCCAGGGCGGGCTCCCCTTTGGTGGTCCCGCCCCCTTCCCTCCCGCCCAGAAACCTGATCCAGCTGAAGGACTGATTGCAGGAAAACTTGGCATCTCCCCAACTCTGGTGGCTAGCTGCAGCCGGAGAAGGTGCAGGCAGCCGCTGCGAAGCAGGCCGGCTGGGACACAAGTTTGGCAGGAGGTGAACAGGCTGGCCTCTGTGGGGCTCGCCTTGAGTGGGAAGCTCACCATGAAGCAGTGGATCCTGCAGGCACTGCTTGCCTGGCTGCTGCCCACGCTCCTGGCACAGGGAGAAGGTAAGGGGCTCCGGGGACACACGCAAGACTGGACTGGCCATCTATGGCCCTGGAGTAGGGGAGGCCTTGGAGGGTTGAGGGAAGGAGAGTCTGGAGCAGTCTTGCTGCAGGAAAGTCAGCTGTCTTACCACATGTGAGCATGAGAGCATTTTGAGGCATCATGGTCAAGCTAGAGTTGGGGAAGTTGAGCTTGGTGACAGCAGGGCTTCTGAGAGGGGAGCAGAGCAGTAGCTTGTTTAGCAGAAATATGCAGACAGGCGCCAGGAGAGAGGCTCCTCTCCTCTTTGCCCTGCCCCTAAACTCATCAAATGGCAGCTGCAAAGGAACTTATAGCTTATTTGGTTCACTTTTTCCTGTTGAAAGTGAGGTCCAGAGGGCAGGAGTAATTCACTCAARGTCACAYAGCTTGTCAGCAGCAGAGTGGGAACCAGAGCTAATCTAGAAATCTTCCTTCATCTTCTCTGGATTTTGTGGCATGGGTTTTCTGGGTCTCTATCCTACAGTTCCCTTTCAGGGCTAACTTCCAGTGATAACAAACTTCTCTCCATTCCCTTCTAACTCCCTTGAAAACAGGGCATTTTAGTCACAAAAGGAACTGTTTCTTTCTGCTGCAGACCAGGAAATTTTCTCCTCCTACAGAAGTGGGTTGGACCAGCCTCACTGGGGCATGGTGTGTGTGGATGCCACCCGGGGGCTAGACAGGTATAAAGGGCTGTGGGCAAGATGATTTTCTGCCGTGAGCTGTCATTGGGGGAAGCTCAGAGGATGAAGTAAATGTAATCCAGAGGTGATGACTGGTCCAGGGCTTCCTGGACTGGGTTACACAACCTCCTTCCTGCAGTGGCCCCTTTCTCCAAGGGCCCCTGGGATGAGTCTGGGGCTCTCCACACAACAAGAGTCCCAGTAGATGGGATCTGGACTGACACGGGTGTCCTGAAGAGACACAGTGGTGACTCAGTTCCTTCACATTCAGGACACAGTTCTCACTGTTCTGAGCTTCAGGTGTTCTTGTCTGTGAAATGGGCTGCCATTCAGAGATTGAAATGAAGACTGTATTATTGGATATTATTGCAAAGGAGTCTCTCAAAATAACAAGTCTCTTGCTTTCCCTCTCTCTCTGTCCTTCTGAGGGAGGCTGAAAGCTTTTCGGGTAGGTGGGTGAGACCCAGGAGGGGACCACAAGACGGATATGCTGCAGACCTGCAGGGAGAGACAGGATGAGAGGAGGCTATGCTGTGTATTGGAAGCCAGSTTTGCTGCACCTGGTCTGGAAAAAGCCCTGTGGACCCTGCAGTTTCGTCTCTTCCTTGTCACCTGAACCCTGMTCTGGGCTGTGTCCTCCCCACCCCATATTTCATGTCTCTCCTTAGGAACTGTTCCTACTATTTCCCGGAAGGAAGCTGGGGTGCACATGAAATCCCATGGAATAGGGCCAGGTCCGAGGCACTGGGCTTTCCCATCCTCCCAGCCCCCCTGCCACCTCCTGCTCTGGGAGCAATTTGGTTCCTCCTGGGTATCTCCATACCTCRCCCTCACCTCCTTCCTAACCTCATCCAGTTTGCCCACCAGGCCACGTTAGGAAAAGGACCTGGCATCATGGTGGCCATCTTGGATCATGTGTGTGGCTTTTGGCAGAAGGGAGAGGGGACGCCAGCTTTCATAGGATGCCCACCTTTCCTTCTTCGACAGTTGCAGCMCAGGGTCACAACGGAGGCAGTGAGCTGTGTGCATGCTGCAATCTGAACTCRGCTGAGGAAACCCTGAGGCAGACCAGTGGGTCCTGAGACCCTTTCTTGTGGTCCTCTTGCCTGTTCATAGCACGTGCACCCACAGCCCACTTCCGTTTAGCTGCTCCAGCCTCCTCCTCACCTTCCCTAGCAAGCCAGCTCCCTGCCCTCCTRTAAATGAGTGCTCAGGCTGTCCTAGGAGACTGCCCATTGCGATTTTGGCAAGAATCTCTACAAACAAAATGCTCTAAAGATGGGAATTTCAGTCTGTTGTGGAGATCTGGGAATATCATGAGGTGGGGACACACTCCTTCCAAGAGCTTACAAACCAGAGCAAGAGAACCAGGGAACGTTTCAGGGCTCTGGTTTCCACTTTGAACTGTTCTCCTTTCCAGCCAGGCAGAGGGGGATCTCCCAGGCCCAGAACTCCACCAGGCCTGCCCTGCTGAGGCTGTCCGACCACCTCCTGGCCAACTACAGGAAGGGCGTGCGGCCAGTGCGGGACTGGAGGAGGCCCACCACCATCTCCATTGATGTCATCGTCTACGCCATCCTCAACGTGGTGAGTGTGGCCCCAGACTTCAAGCCCTCTCYGCAATGCAGAAATGGATCCTTGAAGATGAGGCCAAGTCACCTGCTGGGCAGGATAGAACCCTAGAACCTGAGGTCTGGCACCACAGCTGAGGATGGACTGCAGCAGAATCTGCACAGCTGCCCAAACCATGAGCCTGGGCCATCTACAGCCAGTGGTCACTTCCTGCCTATGGKTGTCCATGCAGTAACCTGGTCATCACCTCCCTATGTCAGCCATSTGGGGGTGAAGACTTTCTTATTCATCTCTATGCCCTTAGTGCCTTACACAGGTCCTGGTACATGGCAGGTGTCACTAAATGTTGAAAATAGATCTATTGTATGAGATAGATCAACAAATAGATCAACAAATCAATTAAGTAATGAGTTTCTTCATCAATTACTATAGCAGGGTGGGATGTCCTGCCCAGCAGAGGTCAGACATTGTGCAGAGTTATAAACGAGAAGGCAACTGTAGAAATGTGGTGTCTGTGTTRGGGTGGGGGAGGCAGAACCCGACTACACAGTCTACTACAGTCACCCTGTGCCTCTTGACGCAGGATGCAATCATGGCCCTCAGAACATCTCTGGAAAGAAGCACAGAAAACTGCTTACCATGTGCTTCAGGAAGGAAAATTGGGATTAGACGAAGGGAAGGAGAGTGATAGACTTTTCACTTCATGTGGTTTTGTGCATATATACTTTGTATACCTTCTATTATTATCATCTATTATGTTACATGTAATATAATAGAAGATAACAGAAAGTATATTTATACCTATTATGTAGTCTATTATTATGTAGTGTATTTGTACCCTTTGTATAACATATAGCATATATATGACATATATACTATAAGTGTGTGTGAATACACACACACACATACACACACACATACACATACACATCTTTGAAGTTGAAAGGAAGTCATATTTCCTTGTAGCGTGCCCTAATAAAACGCCAACTTGTCCTGGCTGGCCAAGCAGCTCCAGCTTGTCCTTGGGCCCCTTTTGCTCACTCTCCTTCCCAGGGGAATAGGRGAACAAGGAAGCAGCTCTATTTTGGGGTGGTGCATGCAGGGCCACCAGTCTAAGCTCCCTTTCCTTTCCCAGGATGAGAAGAACCAGGTACTGACCACCTACATCTGGTACCGGCAGGTGAGCAGAGCCGCCCCTTGCCCACTCCCACTTGCTAGGACARGGACTTCTAGGAAGGCCTTCTCTGTTCGAAGGAGTCAGGAATCTCAGTGGTCTTGGTGAGGAAAGGTGTGGGGAGAGGTTCAAAGGCATGCTCAGCATGAGATTCAGGAGTTTTTAGTCTTCCTCTCTCAGGACAGGGAGTAGAAGGAAGCTTAATGATTAGTGGAGGCCGGGCACTGTGGTGCACACCAATCCCAGYGACTTGGGAGGCTGAGGCAGGAGGATTGCAAGTTCAAAGCCAGCATTAGCCACTTAACAATGCCTTCAGCAACTTAACMGGATCCTGTCTCAAAATTTWAAAAAAAGSCAGGGGATATGGTTCAGTGGTTGAGCACCCCTTGGTTCAAWCCCCAACTACCCCTCCCCAACCACACACACGAAAAATGAAATGGAGAGGAAATCCCTCAAAGCCCTCTGGTTTCTGAAGTTCTTCACAGCATCCCAGACAAGTGCTTGTCCAACCCCTGTTGAAGGACCTCCAGCACCTGGGAACTCATGAGGCAGCCACATCACTTTCAAGCAGCTCTAATTACTAGAAAGTTCTGCCTTCAATTTAGTTAATTGGGTGACTGAAACAGTTTATCCATTTAGCCCTCACAGTCTTGGCGGTCCCCTCTTATCCAGTTTCTGATGGGCATGGACCCAGCACTGGTAGGTGGATATCTCTGAGGTCTTGCCTAAGCCCTAGCTCTGACCTGGAAACAGGAGAGGTGGCTGCCTATAGGCAGGGCTTGCTCTGGTGGACGCTGGGGATGTGGGGAAGAAGTCAGAGCAGAAGGCGAAACTAAAATGGCTGAAGAGAAGGGCAGGAGGATGAGGACTATTCACAGAGGTCAAGCAGAGAGGCTCTGCAGACACAGCTGGTATACATGGGTCTCTGTGAAATCCTTGCCCACTCTCATGGACATGTTCCACCAGCAGCATCAGCAGCTCATGGGGCAGGGAGTAGGGTTGAGGAAGAAGTTAGAAAGTTGATCTCTGAGATACTGCTCCATTACTGCCTCATAGAAGGATTCCTTGATACAGAACACTTTTCCTCAAAGGAAGGACCCTGAACGTGGCTAGGCATCCTGGACCTCCTTTCCCTGGAACATCAGCCTCRGTCCCACCTCTTTACCTCTAGGGTCACTTGTCTGCTCCAGTTGGTTGCAGTCTGCAGTGAGGGAAGGTCAGTCTGCTATGTACCAGCAACAATGCCAAGGGACTGGAGTTGGAAATGCAGTCTAGACTCAGGCCCTGTGCACGATGAGCTCACAGACTAGTGGAAGCCAAGTCTGCCACAGACAAGTGGACAGACCCCTGGCATGCAATACAACAGCTGCTCATCATGGCCAGGATGTGAGAGCACAGAGGGATACACCTAACACAACAGGGCTCCTAGAGAAGGGGGCATAGATACCTTGGTAAGTCTGGAAGAATGAGTACAAGGTACCTTTGCAAAGAAGACAGGGAGCATGGGAGAAGGTATATGGGATGCAGAGATGTGGAAGTTTCAACAGTGTTTAATTCCATGTGGAAGGATTGTGGAATTCAAATGGTCCTTGAGATTTAACTTTACCATAAGAGCAATGGGGCAAAAGAGTGCTATGATCAGACTGGACTGGCCATTCTGGCATAGGAAGAGTGGAGCACACATTGACCAAAACTTAACAATAGCTGGGCGCGGTGGTGCACGCCTGTAATCCCAGTGGCTTGGGAGGCTGAGGTAGGAGGATTCCAAGTTCAAAGCCAGCCGCAGAAAAAGTGAGGCACTCAGCGAGACTCTATCTCTAAATAAAATACAAAATAGGGCTGGAGATGTGGCTCAGTGTCCTAGTGCTCCTGAGTTCAATCCCTGGTACCCCTCACCAAACAACAAACAAACAAGCCTAACAATATCTACCTCTGCTTTGAGGTGGATGTGTTTATTCCCATTCCTCTTTTTTTTTTTTTTTTTTTTATACCAGGGATTGAACTCAGGGGCACTCAACCTTTGAGCCACATCCCTAATCCTTTTTTATATTTATTTAGAGACAGGATCTCACTGAGTTGTTTAGTCCCTTGCTGTTGCTGAGCCTGACTTTGAACTTGAGGTCCTCCTGCCTCAGCCTCCCGTGCCACTGGGATGTAAACCAAGACCCAAGAAGTTATTTGTTCAAGATCCTGAAGTTGAAAAAACAAACATAAAAAGATCCTGAAGTTTGAAGTTGGTGGTTAGGAGTCCTTTAACATTGGAAATGGTTGCAGGCCTTCCCAGGGAGGGGTTGCCTCAGTCCGTGTTGTTATGCAGGTAGGGAGAGTGTGAGGACAGGGGTGAGGGGCTCTCCATTACTGCTGAGTGCTTTGGGTGCCACTGACACCCAGATTTTCCTGAGCCGATGCCCATCTATTGTCTGGGCCTGAGGAGTGAAGTCAGCCTGGTTTTCAGCAACCCTCCCTGGAGATGGAGGGGGCTCTGGTGACCATCGTCCCTCCTCCCCTAGTTCTGGACTGATGAGTTTCTCCAGTGGAACCCTGAGGACTTTGACAACATCACCAAGTTGTCCGTCCCCACCGACAGCGTCTGGGTCCCAGACATTCTCATCAACGAGTTGTGAGTACTGTCACCCAAGTCCGGGCTGTGGGGTGGCTGGAGAAGCCAGGTGGCTGAGGGACAAGATGGCTGCCATGGCCTTCGAGATCTTCCAGCCAGACTCACCCACTGTACATAAAGTTAGCCAGAGCTCAAGTTCTCTTTTCTTTCTATCCTTTTCTTTTAAAAATTTATCTTTTTTTGTGTCTGATGTTGAAACTCTGTACTTCATTAGTCCAAGGGCCCTCATCTCAGGGAAAGAAGCCAGTGAATGAATTCACACTGAGTTATAATAGCCTAATGGGGACAGCTGCATTTTTAAAGAGGACAGTTATGTTTCTGAAAGGAATGGAGCACTGATGGCTGCCACCGTGCCTGGCCACAGAGGGGATTTGGAGCTAAGGGTCATGCTCAGACCTCCCAGGCCACGTCTGTGCCTTCAGCTTGAAGTGGGTCCCATCCGTCTTTATTTCTAGCAGCCAAACAATCTCACTTGGCTTCAGCCAACAGAACTTCTCCCCCTTCTGCAGGTTCATTTAGGGTTCACCAACTGAACTTCTGAATTGCACAGCAGGGAAAATGTGTGGGGGAGGGATGGACAGAAAGGGGAAGGTGGCAAGGAGGTCCACCCCAGTACCCACTGCATTGCCCAGCTCCACAGGGCACTGATATTTTCTCAAGGGAGGTGCTTGACCACGAACCCACCACTCAATGCCCTGCACAGCTCAGGCTGGAGGCTTTCTGGGAAATCTGCTTCCTGTTGAATCTTCATTTTTAATAGTGAAATAGGCTTCCTCTTAACTTCTTATCTCTTAGCCTTCCCCACAGAAGATTGAAGGCTCAGACCCTGGGCTCAGCCCACTTCCTGCTACTATGGTCACTTGGGAGAGCCTTAGGGTCCAGTATCAGCCGAAAGAGTGAGATGAAATCTTGTTGGATTTTTCTGGGTTCCCCGAATTCTTATCCATGATTTCTCTAGTTCTTTTTCTGCTGGAGAGTATATTCATTTTCAAGGACTTCTAAAAATGGGAAATAAAGAGAAATCAGAGTCAAATAGAACATAAGCTTCCGTTCTTGCCTGTAATCTCAGTCCTAGAGGTTCTGGGAGCCAAGCTCTACCCAGCCTGGGTGTACATGTGCATGCACTTGTGTGTGTGTGTGTGTGTGTGTGTGTGTGTGTGCATGGGGGCAACTGGACAACCTCTCTACAGCCTGAGGCTTTGAGGTTCCTGGGTCGCTTCCCTGCCTTTTGTGGCTAAGTTGCCAGAGGAGTAAAGGAGAGGTGCCCTTTCCTACTTGGAAAGTAACCTGACAATGGTGGGTTAGGAAGCCTAAGATAGATAAGAACATTGGAAAGCTGCAGCCAGACAAGACCCTCTGGATTGTCCTGCTGCCTGTACTCTCCCTGAGTTTCTTTCCCTCCTGGGCTCAGAGATCTTCACACTCCCAGGGCTGGATCTGCCTCTTGAGCCTCCACACTGATCTCTCTTCCCTGACCAGTGTGGACGTGGGGAAGTCTCCAAATATCCCATACGTGTATGTTCAGCATCAGGGTGAGGTCCAGAACTACAAGCCCCTCCAGGTGGTGACCGCCTGCAGCCTCGACATCTATAATTTCCCCTTTGATGTGCAGAACTGCTCGCTGACCTTCACCAGCTGGCTTCACACCAGTGAGTATGTGGGCCTTGGGAGGTGGGGACAGAGGTGGGAGCAAGGACACATGGGCAAGGAGCACTTAGGAAGCATTCTCCCTTATCACCCATTTTACTTATCTCTTTTCTTTTCCCTTCCTTCCTTCCTTCCTTCCTTCCTTCCTTCCTTCCTTCCTTCCTTCCTTCCTTCCTTCCTTTTTTTGTTTTTTGGTGTGTGTCCTGGGGATTGAATCCAGTGCCTTACACGTACTAAGCTTTACCACTGAGCTACATCCTGAGTCTCAACTGCTAATCTTCTTAATGTCATTGAGACTCTATTTCCTCATCCTCCAAATGGGGTCAATATCTGCCTCACTGCGTCCCGTCCCCCAGTAGTAGTAAGGATTTCATGAGACAGCATGAACCAACTTCACATGCTTATTAAGGGACAGTTCTTTTCCAAATATCACAAATAGGATCTGGCACTAAGGTCTCTCAGACCCACTCACTTCTCTTCACCCCCAGCCAAGCCACCCTCATCTCCTGCCCAGATTTCACCATTTGTTCTTGTCCCCTTCCAATTCATGCTCCTCACAGCAGCCAGTGAACTCTTATTAAAATGCAAATCTGATTGTGTCACTTAAAACCCTGATGGCTTCCCAGCAGTCCTGGAACACATTCCAAATCCTTGACCTAGTCCTGCCCACAGTCCATCTCTCCAGCTTCATCTGGTGCATGCTCTCGGAACTCTGCTCCAGCCCAGCTGCCTTCCTCTTTGGGCCCACAGCCCCTGTTCTTCCATTTCACCCATGCTCTTTCCCCTCCTAGGCTACTTCCCCCACTGCTCCCCCTCCTGCCCTAAATCCATACCCAGGCTGGCCAACCTCTCTGCTCAACTTTTTTTTTTTTTAAGTATTTAATTTTTAGTTTTAGGTGGACACAATACCTTTATTTTATTTTTATGTGGAGCCAAGAATCGAACCCAGTGCCTCCTCATGCTAGGCAAGCGCGCTAACATTTGAGCCACATCCCCAGCCCCCTCTGCTCAACTTTCTGATCACCACATAAGTATTAGCAACCTGGGAAACCCTCCCCCCACACACCCCCAGAGGAGCCCATCACTGTCCTGCAAGTGTAAAACACCCTGTTTTTCTCACCATCTGTATGACCCTGTCAGTACTTATTTGGTGTCCACTTCTGAAATAGATACAAATGTAGAGAAGGCAGGGACATGATTTGTGCCCCATCTTTAGATTTCTAGCACAAGGGCCTGGCACACAGGAAGACATCTGGCAAATTATTAAATGTATGAGTGTCAGGTGACTCCAAGAGGGCTAGGGAATGAACCTTATCCAACTGACTGCAGAAAGGCAGCCTTCGTTTCTATTTCGATTTATTCATTATATTAAATTATGACAGTGAAATAACATCTTTCAAAAAAAAAAAAAAAACCCAAAACTACAGAGAAAGCCAAAATCTCCTTTGCCCTCTACCCTCAATCTCAAACTCTTCCCCCCAAATTCCATGCAATAAGAGTTAACTGTTGGGCTGGGGTTGTGGCTCAGTGGTAGAGAACTCTCCTCGTATATATGAGGCACCGGGTTTGATCCTCAGCAGCACACTCAAATAAATAAAATAAAGGTATTGTGTCCACCTGCAACTAAAAAAATATTTTAAGAGGTTAACTATTTTTTATCAGTATAAACTTCATAAAGTATATTCTTTCAGGTTCTTCTCTATGTGTTTATACTCACACATACATATCTGCGGAAATATTGCATATACTATCATATACTCGTACTTGATACTTTTTACTCAGTGATAGCTTCTGGATGTTTTTACATGTTATTGCAAGATGGCAAGTTCAAAATGATCCTCATGAATTTTAACTGCCACAGAATGATTTGGATCTATCATAATTTATTAAGCATTTTCTTATTGATGGACATTTAGATCTTTTCTGTATTTTGCTGCAATGGATACTCTGGTCCTTTCTAATGCACATATGCATATCTTTTCTTTAGTATAGATATAGAGAAGTAGAACTGCTGTGCCTGAAGTGAGGAGTTTTCTCATTTTTCTAGTTCAACTTTAAAGACAGGTTGCTCTGAAGGCAAAGATGATAAATCTGTATTATATTTCATTTCATAAATGGATAATTTTATGTATGCATGTATTGTGGTGCTAGAGATTGAACTCAGGGCCTTGCGCTTGGCAAGTGCTCTACCACTGAACTACACTCCCAGTTCTTTTTTAAAATTTTATTTTGCTATATTGCTGAGGCTGGCCTTGAACTTGCCATCTCCTGCCTCTGCCTCCTGAGTTGCTGGGTTAACAGGCATGCACCACCACGCCTGGCCTATATGTGAACTTTCTTTTTCTTTTTTCTTTTCCACATTTTTTAAATTGTTGTTTTGGCCAATATCATTCCTCAGTATTTCCTCTTTCCCTCCAGACCTCCCTTCCCTGGTTTCTTTGCTCTAGTCTACTGATTTCCCTCTGATTTTCTTAAGATCTACCCCACCTTTCTTTTCCTTTCTTCTCTCTAGCTTCTACATATGAGAGAAAAAAATAAGTCAAACTTTTGAGTTTGACTTATTTCGCTTAACAATGTTTTCAAGTTCCATTAATTTTCTTGCAAATGACAATTTCGTTTTTCTTTATGGCTGAATTAAACTCCATTGTGTATATACATACCACATTTTTTTTTTTGTCCATTAATGCACAAAATATAGTGATACAATTTGGCCAATATCACTCCCAGCACTTCTCCCCTCTCTCCTCACTTCCCACCCCTGGTCCCTTTCCTGTACTGATCTCTCTTTGATTTTCATAGGATCTGCCTCCACCTTTCTTTTCCTTTAAAACATATGACCTTTGACTTTCTGAGTTTGACTTATTTTGCTCAATGGGGTGGTCTCTAATTCCATTCATTTCCTTACAAAAGACTTAATTTTATTTTTCTTTATGCCATGCCTTGTCTTTTCAAGAACATCCATATGGATTTACATAGTGGTGCTAATTTATAATCCCACAACAGTATAAATGTGTTTCTTTTCCCCACATCCTCTCCAGCATTTATTGTTGTTTCTATTCTTGATGACTGCCATTCTGTCTGGGCTTTCTGATGAATGGCTTATATGGCTCTTTGTGCTGTGCTGTGTTTTCACTCAAGGCTTTCTCTGCCCACACTGCAGGCCTGAGAAAGGCACATTTTACAGCTTAGAAAACTGAGGCTGGAGGTTAGAGCAAGGCATGAGGTCCCACTCACCTGATATCAGCCTTCYCTGATTACTGCCTGCCCCGTGCGCCACTTTCTAAGGGTCTGGCAGGCTCCAAGCACTAGATTCCATAACTAGCCTCATTTCTTCTCTCTCAGTCAATGACATCAACATCTCCCTGTGGCGCTTGCCAGAAAAAGTGAAGTCTGACAAGAGCATCTTCATGAATCAGGGCGAGTGGGAGTTGCTGGGGGTGTTGCCTCAGTTCCGGAAGTTCACTATGGAAAGCAGTGACTGTTACGCAGAAATGAAGTTCTATGTGAGTGGGAGCAGATGTGGGTAAAATGGTGACAGAAACTACTAGTCCTTCATACCAGGGGGGCTTATGGAGGCATATTGGAAAAAACTTCCCTAGCCTTTTTCCCAGTTCCAAGGTCTGACATCCCCTGGAGCTTCAATGAAGTAAACAGGGAAACTCAACTAATTGTCCCTTACACACCTGAACAGTTGCAAGCCTAGATTGACAGGCAGGATGTGGGCACTGTCCATTTCCTCCAGTGAGCAATCCAGGCTGGAAGTTCCAGTAAGCCAGGGGGTGTGGGCTAGAGGTGGTAGCTCCTGCGTGCAGAGCCCATCTGCCTCAGGCTTCTCCCAAGCTTCTCTCCTGGTCCCAGGTGGTCATCCGCCGGCGGCCCCTCTTCTATGCAGTCAGCCTGCTGCTTCCCAGTATCTTCCTAATGGTCATGGACATCGTGGGCTTCTACCTGCCCCCAGACAGTGGCGAGAGGGTCTCCTTCAAGATCACACTCCTCCTGGGCTACTCGGTTTTCCTGATCATTGTGTCTGACACGCTGCCTGCCACTGCCATCGGCACTCCCCTCATTGGTAAGGTCCCTCCTGGGAGAGGAGCTCAGTCTGGCGAACCTGGCCCCCTCCTACCTCCTCTGTATGTCTCTTCCCTCTGCCCTGGGGCACATAGGTGTCTACTTCGTCGTGTGCATGGCTCTGCTGGTGATAAGCTTGGCCGAGACCATCCTCATTGTGCGGCTGGTGCACAAGCAAGACCTGCAGCAGCCTGTGCCTGCCTGGCTGCAGCACTTAGTTCTGGAAAGGATCACCTGGCTACTTTGCCTAAGGGAGCAGTCAGCCTCCTGTAGACCCCCAACCACCACCCAGGCCACCAAGACCAACAACTGCTCAGGTGAGAGGGAAGGAGGAGAGGGGCCATTTTTGGACTGGGTGTAGGAACATGGTAGGGAGTCTGTGGAGGATCCTGGGCAAGGCCTAGGAATTAGGTGCATTCCTGCACCATGCCAGCAAAGATGTCAGTGCAGACTTGTGCTTCACTTTTGCACTTCTCATTGGCTCAGGTGTGCATGAAGAGGGTAGGAGGCCTGGAGTCTGAGCATGTCAGAAGCTGAGCAAATGGCCTCTAAAATGGGCCTAGAGGAAAGGTCAGATGGATGCCCTGCAGGTAGTTATTGGCCTCCTTGCCTCATATGGTCAAATACTGAAGCTGGTACTTCCTAAACTTTCTCATTCTAAATAGCTCAAAAGCCAGGTCCTCAGAATTTCAATCATCTATGAAGTAGAAAGACACTAAACATGGAGCTCACACCTCCTGAGGACCTGTTGTAGCTGCTGTTTGTTGTTGGTGATGGTAGTGTTTGGTTGGTTGATTTGCTGAGCACTCTGTGCCAAGAATATATGAAGCACTCTGTGCACATTATCCCAAGTAATACTCATGATGACCCAGTAGGATTGAATAAGTTAACAGAGGCATGGAGAGGTTAAATAGTTCCTTCTATATCACAGAGCCAGGGTCTAGAAGAAATGTGATTTGAACCCGGACTCTCTCTGCTCAGCTCCTATTCTTCCTTCTTCCTGTGTTCAAGCCTTCTATGTGAGACTTGTAGTGTATCCAACACCATTTCATCATGAGCTGGTGAACTAACCCACCAGCCTAATGCTCAACTTCCCTTGGTTAAGGTAGTTATCTATTAAGTTTTTTGCATTTGCTAGTCCAGAAGGACATGGAGTCATGGAGAGGAGGACAGGGACTCCTGCTAGCCACTCCCTTCTTAGGTAATATAATGAAGCAGAGAGAGAGCAGTGGATTGGGAGTCCAGGCACCTGGCCTTAGTGGTCTCACCATTAAATGATGCTCCAGTTGCATTAATCACTTAACTTCTCTGAGCTCGGCATTGTCATAGAAAAGCAGGGATAGTAATCACTCTTACTCTGCCTCTCTCATGGGGATGCTATGAGGTTCAAATGAAATAATGGATGTCAGATTGCTGAGGAAAACCCACAGGATGTTTTTAAAAAAATGCACAGGAAGGATAAACACTGATTCCATGAAACTGGTGACTTGAGAAAGGGGTACAGAATATGACTGAGGAGGAAGTACAGGAGTCTTCCATCATGTTGGTTTTTAAAAATTAGTTTAAGTTGGATGGTGAGTATGTAGATGTGTAAGTTATTCTCAATACTTTTTATATCTAAAATTGTTCATAGAAAAATTTCCACAGGCTGTAGAAAGATAAGGGACAGTATTTGGGCCATCCAACAGTCCTCTCTTCCGCCAATTCTTTGTCCTTCTTCCAGCCATGGGAAACCACTGTAGCCATTTAGGAGGACCCCAGGACTTGGAGAAGACCCTGAGGGGCAGAGGCGGCCCTCCCCCACCACCACGGGAAGCCTCACTGGCAGTACGTGGGCTGCTGCAAGAGCTGTCCTCCATCCGACACTACCTGGAGAAGAGGGATGAGATCCGAGAGATGGCCCGGGACTGGCTGCGGGTGGGCTCTGTGCTGGACAAGCTGCTCTTCCGCATCTACCTGCTGGCAGTGCTGGCCTATAGCATCACCCTGGTCACACTCTGGTCCGTCTGGCATTATTCTTGAGTGGGCACAGCCCAGCAGGGAAAGGGGTATAGGGCTGGTTAAGATGGGGACATAGGATTTCCACTTAGTTCCTTCAGGGCCCAGGGGATGTCAGGGACATTCCCAAGACACAGATGCAGTCCCATACCCCATTTCCAATGCCAGTTCATCTAAGCTATCCTGAACTATGGTCTGAACTCCTTGCCCCCAAATTTAGTGTTTAAGATCCTTACAGCGAACCCCCATCCACAGCTGCCTGTTATGGCTTTACATCCTGCTATCTTAGATTGGGAGAGACCCACGCATTCCATAACTTCACTCTCCTTATCTAGGCCTCAAGTCTCAGTTTCCCTTTGGCACTTCCCTAGAATTCTGCTTATTTCCACCAACCTTGTTTTTAAATTGAAAGCAAAATTAACTCTCTGCTACTGGGGCCTGATGATTCTGCATATGTTTATCCTGCCCTAATGTCTCCTTCTTCACTACCACCTGTGGTCCACTTCCCTAATATTCATGATCCAGCAGCTAGTGGGGGGGCAATAAAATGCTATAAACCCTTAAACTCTCTTCTTGATCATTGTCAACAGCTTTGGGGAAAGATTGGATGAGTGGAAGAAGAGGTTTAAAGTTACTAGTAGGAATGGGGTTCTGGAATTAATTGTAGTTTTAGTTGTTTGATGTTTTCTGGATGAGGGTCCTGGAGGGTGAAATGGTAGCTACTACGAATATGAAACAATAGAGGGTGGGATTGATGGTGTGAAGGTCAGGACTGTGAACACTTAGCAATGGAGAGGGAAGAAGGGAAGATCAGTTTTGTGGCTGTGAGATGCTGAAAGGGACCACACGTTCTTCTTATTAATTTGGTCCATGGTCTCTCAGTGAAGCTGGGAGCAAGCTGTCTCTCAGAAAGAGGATTCTGCAATGGCGACAAGAACTTCAGCACCATGGTCAGCACCAATGGGTTTTTGTACTTAGAAAACAGCAAGAAAGCCAAGGCCTGGGTTTACCTATCTCCATTGGGAACTCTCAGCAGCCTCCCCTGGCACGTCCACCAGAACGCAAGACCATGAAGGAAGCAGAGTTGGTAACAATGGTCTTTGGTCTGACTCCTCATATCCTGGCCCCTTCTTCCAGACATCAGGGCTTAAAACATGCCGAGAAGTACCCTATCTGCATAACTCCATCCACCTAACAAGCTTTCAGAGAAGAGGAATGCTAGACTCTACCAACAGTGACCTGTCTTAGTGTATGCCCTCTCCCAGGGCAGAGAAATACTGTAAATTTACCTTCTTGTCTGTCCTGAGCTCTCTGTCAGAGAAACTATGATGGAGAGGAGTTAAAAGGAAAGGACCCAAAAGAAATACCTGGGATGAATTCTGACATTTCCACTGTCTTCCCCATTGTTCCAGGCCAGCCAATTATAAAAGGCTCAGTGTGGGACACCTGAAGTAATACATCCCCCTAACCCCAAACTTTACAAATAGGTGATAAATCATACTAGAGGCTAAGTAGAGGACATAACTGTAGACGCCTGAGTTCTCCATGTCTAAAACAGCCTAGAGGCTGAGGGAGGGGTTTATCTGGTTTAGCTTCTTCTCACCCCAGCCCCCAGCATTCAGAAAGAACTCATTAAATACTGACTGGCGATTTGATCCTAAGATGAACTGGCAATGTGGGGGGTCTCATCTGCCACCCTCACCCAACATATCTGCTTTTGAGATTACTCAGAGTTTAGATTTATTTTTGTTTTGTTGATGGGTAGAACTCAGGGTCTTTCAGCATAAAGCAGGAGATTGTGGCACTGGGAACCAGCCCTCACTCAACACTGTTACCTCTGACTGAGCAAGACTGGGCTACTGATGGGGACTGTTCATCTCTCCCCACTCAGGATGGCTCTGAAGCCCATACGGTGAAGCCTGGTCTTAGAATCAAAAGCTGCCCCACTCTACCAGGACTTGCTTGGGCCAGTTATGCTGTTTGGTGATCCTCATGTCTCAGGCCACAGGGATAGAGAGGCGGACGGTCTGGTACTGTCAATGCACCACTGGCCAGTAAGTGTGTGGCTATTGACAAAGTGTCCAACCAGAGAGCTAGTGAGACACTAATCAACCTATCGATTCTCCATCTCCCCCTCCTCACCCTTCACCCATAATCAATGGGGCGACAGAGCCCAGCATGGAGGCAACCAATTAACCACTTGGAGAACGAGCTGCCTCCTGTAACATCTTCTGCTCCACTAGCCACATCCAATCAACTCATCGATCTGGCATCTGGGCAGTGCTGCCCAGGGATGGGAAACTGAGGCCCAGGTCCGGAAGAGCCCCCGTGAACTGATTCCTGCCCATCAATACGGATCTTGGTCTTCTCCCAAGGACACCTTGGCTTTGTTAGCTGAATGAAACACTAGGAATTTCCCTTCTGCTTGCTGTACCTCCTGAAACCTGCTTCCTCCCGCCTCTGATCACTTGGGCTAGTTGCCTCTCATTCTGTCCTAAGTGGAGAGAGAAAACCTGAAGCACTCACATCTTTATAAGTGCAGTTCTCTCTCATCTCCACTTCTCTGTGCAGCTCTATTMACTTCCAAAATACTCCGGTTTTCATCTCCTTTTCTCATCCACCCTGTTTTCCAAAACCCTCATGTAGACTAAAAAGATTCCCCCAGAGGCCAGTGTGTCCAGCAGGAACCCTCCAGCCCTCTGTGAGCTCCTGCCTGGTGCTGCTGACAGCCTTGGAGCCTGCTGCCACCACCCAGGGAGCAGGAAGGTAGCCTTGCTCCCCAAAGCTCACAACCTAGGCCCAAGGGTCTCAAGGGTCCCCTCCCAGGAGTGGGCACTGCAAGGACGTTCAGGAGAGACCAGCAGCATGGCTGAGCTAGGGCAGGGGGAGGGGCTTATTAGGGAAGATTTCTTGGAGAGAACATGGAGGAGAAAAAGTTTCCTGGCTGGGTGAAGGAGGGGAAATGTGGTTCAGCATTCAGAAGCCAGATTCTCCTCCTTCCCCCACCGCCCCCCAGCCTCTGAATCAATACATTTTGAATCTAATCTAATAACAGAGATTTAACGAGGGGATAATGCGTGTGGAGCCGCCAGGCGCTTTGTCTCCTCTTTCATGAGGCAGCTGGGGCCCATTATCCGGGGACAATGCCCCATGCTAATCGCTCCCTCTCTCCCCCTCCTGAGTGCTTGGGGAGGGGTGGTGGGCAAGAGAGGGCAGCTCCTCCCTTGATTGGAGGGGAGTGGAGGAGTGGAAGGGAGGGGGGAGGACAAAGTCGAAAAGGGTCTAGTCCATGCCCTGACTTGACACCACCTCGTTGGCTGGGCCACGCTGCGCACCCTGACCAGTAAGAGGTCCAGGGAGCCCCACCAATGCACACAAACAGCAGATAATTAGTGATCAGCTGCAGTGTTGGGAGTTTTAGTGTTGGGAGTTGTTTTGTTGGTGGTGCCCCCCCCCCCCCACAACTTGGTCCTCTATAATTTAAGCTATCCCATTGAGGCCTCTGATTGGCCAGTCCTGACTGTCATGGTTAGAGAATTAAACCCTGGTTTTAGGGGACCAAGAACATCTCTCCCTGAAATAGAAGCCTTTTCCACATCCTCTCTCTCTTTTCTATCTGGAGGAGTGGAGGTTAGACTATGGAACTTTCTGGTAATGCCATTCCAGACACAAACCAGATTGGGAACCTGAAAGGGAAGGATGGAATCTCGTTCCCTAGAAGCCTTTGAAGAGAGACCTTTATTTCTCTTGCTTGGGAAGGGCAGACCAGAGAGAAGAGGAAGTCTGCCTGGGACTTCTATCAGAGCTCTGAGGGAGGAGGCCAGAGCTAGGGCACCTGAGGCCTGCCCACTCCCATTCCTTTCTGAAACATACATATTGGGGACAACATAGGAGTATAGGAGTGCGGTGTAGAGCGAGAGACCCCAAGTGTGAACTTGGCCCATTACAGGTCAGCTGTCAGCCTCTGACTGGCATGTTTCCTCCTGTGCTTCAACTTCTCATCTGTAGAAATGGGATCATGCCAGTGCTTGACTCACAGGTGTGTGTTGGGTGGGGGGCACCTTGCTCTAGTTAGAGAGAAGCCTGGGGAGATCACAGGTGGGGTACAGTCTAGTGACCTGTGAGTCCTTCCTGAACCCTCATGTCATGTTCTGAGTGGGTGAGAACTGCTCCTAGGAAACAGAGGACCAGAGGCCTTTCTCCTTCTCCCCATTTTAGGGGTTAAGGCTCCTGTCCCCACCAGGCTGAATTCAGACTTCTGTGTCCTGTACCTTGGTGCTCCTTTCTCTCCCATTGCTACCTGTCTCCCTCATCACTGCACATTCAGAACTGCTTTGCACAGAGTTCCTTGTAAAGCCTCAGTTTTGAGTCCCTGCTCTGGGGAAAATGTGTGAGATACTGGAACGCTTTGAGGGCCCATCCTGATTCTGTTTGTCTGTCCTATGCAGTGCCACCCAGTGTGTCCCTGGGTCTGCAAAGAGAACTTGGCAGAAAGACACATCATGAATATAACAGTCAGGATCATAGGATCCCAGGAATTTGCTTGCATGTGCCTGGGAGAACTCCTGACTCAAGACTCATAAAAAAGTATCCGTGCTAAAGCCCTCCAGCAAAATGTCAATCTTCCACCAAGGGCAGCCATGGCCCTGCCTTCTAGATTATGTCCACAAGGTGGCAGCAAAGTCCAGAAGTTCTATGGAAGAGCCTGTACCAAACATTTTATTGCCCTCTTCCCTGTTACCCTTCCCAAATAAAGGCCTGCATCCCTCTCCAGCAGCCTCTGGAATTTCTTTCCTTTAAGACAGACTTTTCCTTTGGGCCAGCACTAAGAATGATGTTCCAGATTGCTTTGTATCCTTCTCTTAAGCTCTGGCAAAGGTGGCCCTGCTACCTCCTCCCTGTCACATGCCCGTGTCCACGCTGATCTCTGGCACCTGAGCCTGCTGCATACATGCTCAGGCCTGGACAGCACAGTAGCCACACACTGGTTGTTCTAGCTTTTCCCCTTTCTGTTCGTGTGATGAAGATACTGCTGATGATGGTGACCAAGGCAGTTTAACCCCATGCTCACATGTGTAACAGGCCCATGGGGGGTTCTGTCTGTCTCTTCTGACCATGTTTCTAAGGCCCTGAGAGGCTTCTCTGTGTTCCTAGGAAAAGCAAGGTCGGAGGGAGGTGCTGAGAGTAGGAGCAGGGGAGAGTGGGGTCAGTGGTTAGAGAGGAAAGGCAGGTGTCTGGGAGAACTGCAATCATGGGGGCTCAGGGCAAGGACTGAAGGGATGGTGCTGGTCCCAGATAGTTTTAATGACATGATTTCTTTACCCA